CAAAAGGTATCAAAGTTGTCCTAAAGTAATAATAAAGGCTAGTGACATTGGCCTTGTGATGTGCTTACTATCAGTGAGGACCAACTGTTGTAACAGCAATAAACCTACTATGTAATAATCCCCTTCCCCTCTCTGTTTCATTCACTCAGAGAGTCTAGGAACAATCTATAATCCATGAGATATCTCCTATAAGAAGAAACAAGGGCTTCCTGGAGAAAATGGATGGCTCCTGGATTTTTTAAGGGAAAGTTCCAGGTGAGCTTGGAACTTCTTTTGCCAGATAACAAAGAACAAAGACTAGTAAGTTCACAACAGAAGAATACAGGAGCTGGCCTCAAGGGCAGGTTTAGGATAATTTGAGTATCAGAAACAATAACAATACTAGATTTTAGCACACTGATTTTTTTTTTAAAAAAACAAGTCCATAATATTACTGCAAAAAGAAAAAACGGGGTGAGGGGAACAGGGAGTGAGAAAGAAGAAAATGTTTTTGTAAATGAAGGAAGGAATACTTGGCGCCTGGTGCCAGCCTTAGTTTCTTTTCGTGTTGCTGTGATAAAATGTCCTGATCAAAAGAACCCCAGGGAGGGCTTATTCTAGACTTTCAAGGTGCAGCCCAGTATGGCCGGAGTGAGGGGCAGCCGGGGCCTGTGGCACAGCACATGGTCACCCTGCATCCACGGTCAAGAAAGGGAAGGCAACGAGCTGAGCCCAGTTCCCCTTCTCTATTTTTATATCAAGGGAACGGTCCCACTCTTCAAGATGGGTTTGTGGCTGGATACAGTAGCAGATGTTTTTAATCCCAGCCCTGGGGAGGCAGAAGCAGGCAGATCTCTGAGTTTGAGGCCAGCCAGCCAGCCTGATCTACACAGTGAGTTCTAGGACAGCATAATGAGATTCTGTCTTGAAAAAAAAAAAAAAAAAAAAAAAAAAAAAAGCTAAAAGATGGATCTTGTGGTGGAGTGAGAATGTCATCAATAGGCTCTTGAATTCTCGGTTTCCAGTTGGTGGTGGTATTTGGGTAGGTTTTTAGGAGGGGTGGGGGTGGGGTAGGCTTTGAGGTTTTAGGAGTCATGTTCTATTCTCAGTCTGCTCTGTCTGCTTCCTATGTGCAGTTCAAGATGTGAACTGTCAGCTGCTACTACTGCCAAGATGGACTCCTCTCCCTCAGGATAAACTCAAACAAGCTTTTCTTTAAGTTGCCTTGGTCACAATTAAAATAATCAAGATGATCTCCCATGGCATGCCCAGAAGCAGCCCACCTCCCAGGTGATTCTGGATTCTGTCAGGTGAACAATTAGCACCAGCCATCACAGTGGTATAGGCCTGTTTTCACAGTACATAGGAGGGACAGATAGGAAGAGCAGGAGTTCAAGGCCAGCCTGGTCTACAGGAGACCCTGCTCAACTTACTCTTCACCCAAAATGAACACCACCTAATATAGAAGGAATTGTAGAGTTAGAAAAATACAATTTTGCAGCCTTGAATGTTAAATTCAGGCAAAGATCATCAATGGATGTGGCATGGAAGGGATATATAATCTAGGGCAGGGGTTTCAACTGTCCTAATGCTTCGACACTTTAATACAGTTTCTTATGTTGTGGCTCCCAAACATAAAATTATTTTCACTGCTACTTCATAACTGTAATTTTGCTACTGTTATGAATCATAATGTAAATAAACATGTGTTTTCTGATGGCCTTAAGTGACCCTGTGAAAGGGTCATTTGACCCCCCAAAGGGGTTGAGACCCACAGTCTAGAGATTTGTGTTACTGACATTTTCCCTGTTACCATGGAGACATAACACCATCAAGATGTTAACTACTAACCAAATGCTTCATGGGGGCCCCTGATATCTGCTTTCTAGAGTGATGAAATCAAAAGTACACATTGCCAATAAGCCAGAAACAAAATAGCCAAGATCTAACCATCAATGAACTTACATAAAAGGTAAGATGATTTTCTGCTGAAAGAGATGCTAACAAATACAGTATGTGGATTATGACTGCATCTGATTGTTAAAGGCAACAACTAAAGATTTTTGGTGAAGGGCAACCTGGAAAATATTGGATACCAACTGCAAATTTGCTCACTATTATGAGATGCATGATGGATATATGTGTGTGTGTGTGTGTGTGTGTGTGTGTGTGTGTATACACACACACACATACATATATTATTTTTCCTAGACAAGGTCTAGAAGCCAGGCTGGCCTAGAAGCATTCTTCCTGCTCAGTCTCAAATGCTGGGATGACAGGCATGTGCATGTGCCATCATACCTGGCTAAGATATTCACATTCTCTTCTTCCCTCTCTCAGCTCATTGTCTATTTCTCTCTCCTTTTGTGTGCCCTAGCTGGTCTGGAGCTCTTAGGCTTAAGTGATCCTCTTGCCTCAGCCTCCTGAGTAGCATGGACTATAGGAACAAGCTACTAAGCCTGGCTTGGAAGTTAAAGTAGCAGAGAGATATGTGTATATGTCTATGTGAAAGCAAATGTGGCCAAGCATGAATAGGTGAATGCAGGCTGCACTTGAGTTTATTATAGGTTTGGCATCTGGAGGCTAAGATAGTCAACAAGGTCCAGAGTTGGGGAAGTTTTTGAGTGGGAGGTCCTTCTTGATGGACCTGTGGGAGATGTCCCATGGGAACAGCCTGCCTATCTTCTACTTCATGCTGGGATCCAGGCTTTGTGATATGGTTGCCTGTGCCTTGTTTCTGCCACTTCCTCCTGAGCCTAGAATCTGCTGCTGTTAAGTGCCAGGAAGGAAACTCCTGCTGATTCCTATTGAGAGCTACTTCTACAGCCAAGTGTATTGAGCATAGGCGGAAAGGACCAGTGGGGCTTTTTAGGGTAGAGGACAGTATAATGCATTTGCTGTAGGTTCTGCCATACACTAGCTGTGTAGGTTGTGGCCAATTCCCAGGGAAGATGATGATGGTCATGAAAACCATAATAGTAACAATAAAGGGTTACAGCTCACTCAGCAGTCCCAACTGGGCTAACTCTTCAACATTCTAATCTCTACTAATCTCACAGGTGAAACAGACACATTCTCTCTCTCTTCAAGATGGGGTTTCTCTGTGTAGCTCTGGCTGTCCTGGAACTCATTCTGAAAACTAGACTGTCCCGGAATTCAAGAGATCCACCTGCCTCTGGCTCCTGAGTGCTGGGATTAAAGGCATGTGCCACCACCACCTTGAGAAACAGATACTTTCACAGCTCTGCTACAGAGACCAGCCACACAGGCCACTTCCTTCCTCTGTCATCCCCTATGCCAGGAGTTCAAATGAAACAAATCTCATTCAGCTGCCAGGCCTCACATGTGGAACTCAAATCCTCCTCTTTGACTTGCAGTAGCACGTTACACTCACTCATTAGTACAAATAACCTACACAGACAGGTGCCTGGTCTCCTTGTTGGGGCTGGGAAGCCCCTCTCTATCCCAGAAAACCTGAACAGGGAGCAGGGAAGATGGAAGACTTTTTTTAAAAAACTGTTTAGTTTGAACCATTTTCACCTTCTCTGATAGACTTATTTACCAACAGGGATATTTATTTACCTTTCTTGGAGATAAATACTTTAAAACATTTCATTTTAAAATACTCGAATTTTCAATTTAGAATCAAAGTCCTAAGACAAGGTCTTACTGAATGCTGGGCTGTAAGGCAATGAAGGTTTCCATTGTGTAGGGCAGTGGGCAGAGCACAGGGTAAACTTCAAAGACAACAGTGTTCAAATTGAGTAATGTCTTCCAATCAACTAGCAACTTCCCCACCTAATCCAGTTAGATCATCAGGATAAGGGCTTTGGCTCAGAGCTCTGCAGGCTTCACCTTCACCCCTTCACACCCAACAGCTACATCTTAAGTTGTCTTGCCCTGTCCTAACTCTAAGAGACCTACAGACTGCTCCACAGGACCAACTTCGAAAAAGAGTAAAGGTACTTCCTAGACTCAGTCCACACATGGGACTCTGGAATCTGTCACCATCAGGGCAGAGGGGGAAAGTGGGCTGGGAGAAGAAGAATCCACCCAGCCAGAAGCAATTTATCTGCTTGCACAGAAATGCTTTGCCAAAGATGGCATCCCTCACCCTCATGCAGAACTTTCCTCAGACGTCTTGGCTCACTGTCCTGATTTGCCTTGTCACCACCTCCTTTTAAGCATTCTCTTCCTGTGGTCTTCCCATGCCTCCCTCCCACAGTGGTAATGATAAACAAAGGGCTCTCGATCACTCCCTCCTGAATACACCATAGGGGTGCCTTATAGCTTGGCATTTGGAGGAGCTGAGGGAACTGTTCCTGATGCACAACTCTGGAAGGGTAGGGTATCAGACTGTTTATTTCTTCCCTGCACTTCCTCAGACCAAACCTGTCTTCCTTGCTGCAGAAAAGAGCAGGGTCTTTGAAGGCGTTTGTGGCAAGTTATTCATCACCTGTGTTCCTCAACTGGACACAGACATGGTGAAGCCTTTGCAGGATGCAGGAGTAGAATGAGTTTTGTGTGTGACGCACTGAGCTCCAGGAATGGGCTCTTTATTTCGAGTCACATGGGAAGAACGGTGTTGTGTACATCCACAGACCCTGGCCCACGCCTAGCTACACGCCCTGGATTCGACAAGGCTGGGAGAGGTCCCTGTCATCCCTGTGGTTCGCCCTGCGCTCCTCCACCTAATCCAGCAATCTCTCCTCAGCTCTGGAACCCGACCCCAGATCAGACAAGAAGCCCCTTCTCATCTAGAGACCCTGCCTCTCTCCCCACCCACCAAAGACTCCTCCCACAGAGCGCCCCTCCCCAGCCCCGCCTCTCTGGTAGCCCTGTCCACCCCCAACCCCGAAACGCGCCCCTCCCCCGCGGCCAAGGGCGGGGCTACCCCCTTCACTGATGAGAACAGCGAGGCTGCGACAGATGACATTTCACGGCAGGACAGGTGCCCCGAGGGCCCCATTATGTGTCTGCTGGGTCCCGAGCTCCCCCTCACCCAGGCGCACCGCACCCACCTCCAGCCCTCGCTCGGCAGCCTCCCCTCCAGCCAGCTCAGCTTCGCCAGGGGGCGGGCCGAGCGGGGGCGGGGGCAGTGCTTCCCGGGCCGCGCGCTGGCCGCCGGGACTTGTAGTCTCCTCGTGGATTCTCGCTGTGCTGCGCGGGGCGCGTGGACTTCACCTCCCAGGAGGCAACGCAGAGAGCCAGCCCGCTACTGGCCCGCCCCGCCGGCTCTCGAGCCAGCTGGCCTTAAAGGGGACGCGGCCCGACAGGCAGCTCGCGAAGTAGCCCCCGCTCTGGCTCCGCCCCGTTTCCCGCACCTCCCCCTCCCTCCCCCTTGCTCCGTCCCGCAGCCTGGCGACCGCGCAGCAGAGTTTCACTGCCCAGGTCCGTCTAGGGCTATGCGGAGCGGGGTGGGTGGAGTTGGTCATCACTGTGGCAGTAGCATCCCTGAGGTCTCGGACCCCTCTGTAGGGGAGCGGAGGACCCGCCCTGACCTAGCCTAGCCCAGCCTCGTCCAGCCTGGCCCTAGCGCCCCGCCCAGGAGTGGGTTCTGAGGTAAGGCCCACTGAAGTCCAGGAGGTAAGAGGGCCCTGGGTGTGAGTGATGGTGGCAGCGAGAGTGGGGGCAATGTCTTCACCTTGATTTTCGAGGGCCCCATACTTACCCGCAGGGTTCTGAGAGCTTCTGATTGGAAGGTGGGAGGTCTAGGTTCTTCTGGGCCTTGCTGTGTGACCTTGGGCTAGTACTGCCCCTCTCTGAGCCTTAACCATCGATATCAACTGAGTATAGAGGTGGTCCAGCCTCCCCGCCCCCCAGTACTGAGAACACACACACCTAGTACCACGAAGCCTCGCAGTCTTTTTGCGGAGAAACCCCAGTCCCAATCTGGGCTGGGCAGGGGTGCTGTGGCATAAGAAAGGGAGTGCAAACCTAGGATCCAGAGGCTGGCCGTCTTAGCGTCCCAGAATCTGGGACCCTTGACAACCCTAGCAGATTGGAGAACCGAAGCTTAAGCTCGTGTCCTCCCTTCTAGAAAGTCTGGGCTGGGAGTGGGGGCTGCTGGGTCAGCAGAGGTTAGTGAGGGCTAGTTTTGTAGGCAGGGGTGAGTGTGGCCAATGGCAGAGATGGAACAATGCTTCTGTCATCTTCCCTTAGTCTCATTCCTCTCCAGGAACAGGGCATTTGCCTGTCCCCAACAAAACCCTTGATCCTTTCTTTCCAGGACCCAGACAAGGCCTCTTAGAGGGAAGGGTGCTATCTGGGGTTGCCTTGGTCAGACACTAAGTTAAAAATCTGAAATTCTCCAGCTCAGAGACCCGAGGGACAAAAGACGCCCCCAAGAAGCCCTGGCACCCATGGGAGTTTAGGTGTGGGGTGTGAATGCTAGGGACCAAGAGAAGATGGATTTCCCCATCCCTAGTGCAGGGCAGGGACCTGCATATCCTCCCTCCCCCTTTTGAGGAACAGCTGACCAAGGGGCTAGCCAGGAACAGGGATTTTATTCTGCTTTTCTGTCTGGCTCCTGTGGGTCATTCCTGGAATGGCTAAGGTCTCTTTCTAGTCTAGTCTAGTGGCCTCTGTGGGGTCTCTCACAGCTGTCCAAGGGTTGTGGACATTAGAGATCAGGCCCAGGCAGGGACTGTCCTCAAGGTTAAGCCTGTCTCTGGAAGCTACTTTTCTGGTCACATCCTTGATTTTATCTCATGTTGCTGTCACATGTCTCTCATCAATAGCTAGGCACACCTTCATGGCCACCTCTGAACTTGGGTACAGTCCCATCCTGGGCCCTGTGTACAGAAGAGGACTGGTCTACTTCCTACAGCATCAGACCCTAGCCAGGTGGGTGAGAGGGAGTGCTGGAGCCAGTTAGACTGCAAAGGATGAAGGAGCCAAGAAGGCCTGGGAGCCAGAGCTCAGAGACTAGCTCTGTGGAGGGACAAGGAAGGGCCTGCAAGCTGGGCATTGCAGGATGAGTCAGAACTAGCCAGGAGAGAAGAGGCAAGCCCTTTCCCATGGAGAGGACACCAGGAAAAAAACAAAAAACAAAACAAAACACAAGCCCTTCTCAGATTCCCATCTATGTCCCATATCAGTGTCATGTCACACAGAGAGCCCCAGTGACAGGCTCTCCAGTGTGGGCTTTGTCGGAGGGGGCTAGTGGCCTTGATGTTCTGAGTAGCCAGGCGAGAGGAAGTTTTCAGAGATGAGGCTAATGTGATGGCATTGCTGATGGGGCCAGAGAGAGGCCAAGGAGGTGCTGAAGGCTGAGCTGATCAATAGAAGTCTCAGTTTCTTTCTCTTTCTCCGTAGCCTCCCCCCCCCCCAAGGTGGTAATAGAGAAAAGCCATGTCCCCCTCCTGAGCAGAAGCAGGGAACTGTCAACACTAAAATGCAAGGGTTATCCATGAAGACTCAGGGCCTTCTGGGAGAGGTGTGGCTTCTCCCAGGTGCCCTGGAGCATATGAACAGAATGTGCCTGGACACCTAGGTTGGGAGGCTAGCAGGGCAAGGGCACAAAGCTCAGGGCTTGGGAAAGGGCATCAGCTCTGGCTGGGAAAAGCCAAGAAGTAAGTGGCCAATCATCTTCCATTTGGGTCTCAGAGGCTGAGAGGTGAAGGAGCCACTTACTCCATAACCAAGGCCACCATGGAGGCCCTGTCTGGCTAAAAGGATTTGTGCCTTTATTGGAGGATAGATCAAATGAGGGAATGAGGGTTAGAAAACTACTGTCCTAGTTCAGGCATTAAATAAAGAGGGGCTGATGTTGGGGGAGAGTGGAAATAGTTGACTTGAGGGAATTCTTGTGTGTGTTCCCTCCATGACAGAGGACCAAAAAGAGACTCATGATGCCCAAGTCGCCATCTTTTTTTTAAAAAATAATTATTTATTTGTTTAAAACACTGGCCTGACCCCAGGAATGGAGGATGTAGAACACTTCCTATTCCCATTGAGAAAGCTGAGGTGGTAGAAGGAGGTTGCCCTAGGCAAGCTGTGGATCTGAGTGGAAGCCTTGGATCTGCCTCTGGATGCAGGCTCTGGTAAGGGAGGAGGGCTGCTGCACTTGGTGTGGATCTAGCTAGACTCAGAGTCTGTGTGGACAAGCTGTCCCTGCTGGGTAACCCAGCCTCCTCCTCCGAGAGAGGTGGCTTACAGCTTCTTCTGGGAGGGAAAGAATGACAGCTGGTTCTGCTGTGTCCTGGAAATGTGTCCCCTCCACTCCCTACTCCTGCCCTCCTTTTCCGGCCTGTGATTGGAGTCAGGTGAAGTCAAAACCTCTGAGGCTCTTTTGCATGAATGCATCCAAGATATCATGGACTGGGTTTACTGGTAACCATGGTGACAGCTGACCCAACTGCTCGCGTAGGCGGTAGAGCAGGTAGCAGGGCCTGTGCTTTGTGGAGAGGCCAAAGACCGAAGGAGGCTGGCTTTGGCGATTGGAATTCCAGGTGGTACTGACAGTCTGGGCTCCCAGCTGCCAAATGCAGCCCACCTGATGTCAGGTAAACAAGCAGGGAATTTCAGGTGTTTGATCATTCGGTTTCTGTGGTTTAATCTAATGCCATTTACCCCCATTTTTAAAACGAGAAAAGCAGCCCATATATTTGCCTTACTCAGGGTCACACAGTGCAGGGCTCCATTTCTACTTTGACTTTTTAAATCATCTTCTAGAACCTTCTCTGGCTCCAGAATTCCATTTGTGCCTGCCCTATGCCCTCACCCTCTATACTAGATGCCAAAATCTCATTGATTAAGGTGTCTTCTTAGCAGCAAGCATGCTGGGCATTCTTGGCAGCCTGGGTTAAAAAGCATGGCCCACCCACTAGTCTACACAGCAGGGGGTGTTCTATGCCCTGCCCAAGAAAGAGGGCCCAGGGTGGCAGGGTGGTGGTGGTGGTGGGAGTGCCATTCTGGGGATCCAACCCTTGGCATTCTACATACTAGGTTCTATTAATTAACCACACACCCATCCTAGAGGCTAGTCTTTAAAGGCCTAAGGATTGTGTTTTGCACTGCCAGTTACTCTCTATAAACACATCTGCTTCCACCACTAGGCTTGCATCTCCTTAAGGACCCGAGACTTTGCTTCCAAGGCAGTGAGAATTGATGCCCCTTGATAATTTCCTCAGCATTGTGCAAGGTCGTCTTGTTCATTTTCATAGCCCATTCAAATCAGTGGGAGGTTCAAGGGGCAGAGTAATCTTGTTGGTAACCAGCCTGTATGCCAGATAAGCCTCTCTCAGAGTAAAGTTGGAGTCTCACCTACCACCCTCCCACTGTCTAATTGAGGAGACCTGTGCTAGGCCTCAGGCATTTGACTTTTTTTTCCAAAATGAAATCTTATTTAAAGAGAACAGTGAAAGCCAGCTCTGGTGTGTTCACACCTATAATCATAACCTTAAAGAGGCTGAGGGAGGGTGCAGTGAGACCCAGGTTCCCCTGGGACGCAGAGTAAAACCCATTTGAAAACAAAACAAACTAAACAAACACCCCCCCCCCCCAAGAAGCCAGGCATGGTAATTCATGCCTGTGATCTGAGCACCTGAGAAGAGGAAGCAGGAAGATAAAGACCAACTATGGCTATTTAGTGAGTTTTAAACCAGCCTCAAGTCACATGAGACACTGTCTCAAAACAACAAACATTTCAAACAATAGAAAAAAATGCAAAAAGCGGAAGCAAGTGGCGCAATGGAAAAGCCACCTAAGCAATACAGCTTAGCCTAATGTTTGTGTGTTTGCCAGGGTGCGTGACTATCAAACAAATGAAACGTCACAGTGAGGTACTAAGAGCGCTTGTGCTAAGGCCCTGCTGTCTCTGAGGCAGCCAGGCTATCATTTGGGGGCCACTGATCTGGACTGTGTGACCCTCCAGTCACTGAGCTCCGATGACTCTAACTTCCATTCTAACTTGGTGTGGGAGATGTCAGCCACCGAGAAGTTACGCTTGGTCCCTGTCCCAGGGAGCTCACATCCTGAGACAAACTTCAACAAAGGGGCCCCTGGAAAGAGACATGCAGTACTACAGGCAGGCACAGTTCAGAGGTAGGACACTGCAGTGTGCGTCTCAATAGAG